CGGAATCATGGGAGGGCGTAATGCCGACCTCCGTGATTGACAAGGCCGGAGGCTTTGAGCAGTTTAGGAACGAGCTCATGAGGATCCAGAGAGTCCTGGATTCTCCGGCGTTGGTCGACCTTGGTAAGGTCGATCTGGACGCTCTGGGCGAGCCGCCCAAGGAGTACGTCTCGGATGAAGATCACGAGAGTTATGTAGACGATGATGGAATGGGTCCATATGTGGACAAATTCTCATCAATGGGTGACCGCGACCTAGTGCCCTCAAAGCAGGAGCCGCCTTACTATGAGGCAAAGGCGTGGCGCACCACTGAAGAAGAAATTGAAAGGATGAAGAACCTTTTTCCATTCTTTCGTGCCGAAAATTATCGGCTTATGTCTGCGAGTACTGGTCCCATAGGTACCAAGTCGCACGTACAGGGCGTCCTCCCAACAGGTGCGTCGTTGGAAGAGGCACTGATGGCTAAGCCCGGTGTGTGCCCGATTACGAGCACCTACAACCTCACATACGAGGGTGAAGAGGTTGTGATTGATGCACAGGGCGGGATAGCAGGCAGAATCGCCTGTCCTGCCGGAAATGACATCTTCCATTTTTTCCCCGAAATTAGGGATGTGTCGGCGTTTGTTGGACGAAGCTCCAGGGAATCGCAAATGCTGCTAGAAGTTTTGTCGGGCAACACTGACCCTACGCGGTTAAACGTGAAGCCCGGTGAGCAGCCTCCCTTCTTGTTTGGGACGGTTCCAGACATTCTGGGAGGTTGGATGTCAATGACTCTGATCTCAACGCTACTTGAGGCCCTATACGGGATCCACAAGTGCACGAGTGTCGAGGTAGCGACCTGGGCGGGTGCTCTCGCAAAGGAAAGCCCATCGTACCCTCCAGTCGAGCTCCTAATACGGACAGTCTGGAGGACAGATGGCACGAGTGTGCGCCCGAATGAGGTGCTTTTTGCGCGGTCCACCCTAATCGGGAGGGACGTGCCGTTCAAAGTTTTCAAGCGTTGGGCACTGCGTGACCGAACGCCTATGGGGCCTTTGCTTAGGCCGATGGGAGCAGCAGAAGTCCCTTATACGGGATACGTGCTGCTGACGATGGCCGAGTATCGGTCCGCCCTCAAAACGAGGTGCATCCGGAGGCCTGGCAAATTCGCCATCACAGTTTTCCCCATGCGACCTGAGCAGGTCTGCAGGGGGGAGATCATGATTGGGATGGAGGGCGCAAAGGTGCCTTTCCTCAAGTTGCCCAGCCCCAATAATGAGGGCGAATTTTATGTTGACGACCGCGTCAAGTACATGGACAAGCGCCATGTCGTTGTGGCCGTTGACCTAAAGTGGATGGCCATCGAGGAAGCCGCCGGCATCTACAAAACCCGACGCGGTTTGATCGCCGTGCGGGAAGAGATACATGCGCCATTCTGGCGCGCATGCTATCTGCATCAGGAAGGGGATGTAATATACATCCGCCCCTGGGCGGTCCGTGAGTTGAATGTTCAGGGACCGCGGAGAGGGGTGTCATTTTCATGGGACAATGCTCCCATGCATGACTACTGGTGCCCTCGGTGCGCGCATTTGAACATGTATGGCACCATTCTATGCAATGGTTGCCATCTGCCGATTTTCTATCGTGAATGGGTGCCAGGCACCGTCCGCGCTCTGGTTAAGCATGGACAGCCAATCTGGCTGAGCGAACTCAAAGCAGTCCGCCCCAGCAGCTGGCATGAAGGGGAGACCGACGCGTGGGCCCCTCTCATGGCATCGGTAAACCCGATTCGCGAGGTGGTCAGCTGCATGATCACCGGTTTGCGCTGCGCGCCGCATCTTGTGCACATTCCCAATGCGGATATTGTGCAAGTTGCGTTTCAGGAGGTTGCAAAGGTCACCTCAAAGGACACTCACGCTTGTGTGCGGGCGAGTGATGAGGCTCTCGAGCGGTGGGTAGCGAAGCAGCTGCTCATCGAGGAGAGCAACACTGGCGTCTCGATTCCCGACAATATGTCTGTCATGGCATATTTAATCGAGCACCCGCAACAGGCGGCGCAATGGGGTCGTCATATGACGAGAAAGGGCAGTCTAAATTCAGCATTTGCCCTTTACCTCTCTGTGCATATCTTTGATGCCTACCGCATCGGGATTGAGGACGGGTATTTGGTTCCGCTGTATGGCCTAGGCGCCTCACGCGCGGACATCATAATGTCGTTGGTACAGGCTGAGCGACGCCTCACGGACTTCAATACTGAAGATCCGAGTTTCGACGCTTCCACTGTTCTTGATTGGAATATCGACTCTTTGCGGGCCAGTGGTGGATCCATCACGGCCCCAATTGAGTATGCTGAGGCATACATTTATGTCGAAGACAATAAGGTTGACATGGTCCCCGCTTCGCGGCGCGACGGCCAATGCGCCATTGTCTTTGCTGACCCGCCGGTTGGGAAGCACCACAGGCGGGCAGCCACTCCTAGGGGAGACCAACGGTCTGCTACCCCGCGACCTGAATCCAGGTCAAAGGGTGATCAGCAAAAGGGCAAAGCCCCTGCACAATCCTGGCCCAAGGGCGGAGGTCACAAGGGTGACCAGTTCCCAGGAAAGGGTCACAAAGGTGATCAGTACAAAGGCAAGGGTGGCCAATACGGCTACCAACAAGGGCAGTTCGGTCGTGGCGGATCCGCCAGATCGAGAACTCCCACTGGCGGGTATCAGCCTGATGCTCGCGGGTCGGGATACAAGGGTGCTCAGGCAGCCCCTTTCCCGTTCCCAAGTCCGATGTACCCCGCTTTCCCAATGGGAGGGTACATGCAACAGCCAATGGCTGGCATGATGCCGCAAATGTGGCCTGGCTCAATGCAGCAGGGTTGGCAGCCGCACATGCAGGGTGATCCACGCGAGTTCGAGAATCCGAGCTCGCCGCATACCCCTACCTGGGGTGCGGATGATGAGTTGGCCGAGACCGTGCCTCCTCCTCCTGGGGACTGGAACGTCAACAAGGGGAGGGGACGGCACGGCGGCGGACGACATCGGTAATACCTGGTGTCCGTCTGCATCTTTTGCGTAGCGGCGCCAACGCGCGCGTGCTTTCATTCCGGAATTCACATAATGGACAATGCTCCCTGTAGTATTTCTATGTTTGGGCTATTCGCCATTCCAGAATTCAACTGCATGCGCAGCTGTGCGCTATTCGCGCTGGCAGCGATTACCTGTCAGGTGTGCGTCGCCGCAGCAAGGCAGTTACCCTCACCAAGTGGGAGACCCTCCCCCCCTCAACTCCCCCCCCCAAAGTCTTAAGGACCCTGTAGTCCTCACACCACCCGGCAAGGCTAATTAAGCTTGATTAAGCCTAATTAAGCCTAATTAAGACTAATTAAGCCTAATTAAGCAAAATCCACTTTTGCTTAATTAGGAGTAGTTAGGCTTAATTAAGCTTAATTAACCTTGCCACAATAATGACATTCCTACATATGAAATGAGGCATGTCATTGTTCACGCTATGTGGAAGCACCAATTGGTGGCTCAACCAAGGCTCGAACCTGAAAAGTGAAGCGTGCAACTGTTCCCATCAGAGCATGATGAGGGCTTCATGGCGCTTCACTTCAAAGCATTCACATTTGACGGACCGCCCAAACCGTAAACCCACTCAACATCTCAACATAGGACACATGAGTCATCCGGCAGTAGCACGTAGCGTTGTGGTTTTCCATCTTTGACACGATCCAAGTTTGTATCAACAAGTCCCGTCAGTGGCTTGTGCACTGGTAGCTTGCTACAACTGATGGCGGATGAACTCTTCCAGCACACTCTGCTCCGGCCTCAGTTTTCGCAGGTCAGTGGGCAACTAAGTAATGAAAAGGGAAACCGTAGAGAAAAAATGCGGGTTGAGTCTCAATTCGAACCAAAGGGCATTTCGAAGGGTGTCTTCTTGTTGTTCTTGTTCCATCGGTCATATGTCCATTTCAGGACAATCGTCAAAGCTTCCAATTCCGTAGCGCACTGCTTAGTAGGCCAAGCTCTGGAACACGACTGAGGGCCAGGAGCCCCACCTTAGTTGGAAGCAATCAGATGTCCAGGCGTTTAAAAGGAAGGGGCATCGACCAGCCATCAATTGTGTTGTCACCGAAGTTTGCAACACTTCTTTGGCCACCGTTTTCCAAACTAAAGCTGGTGTTATGTTGCAACCAGGTCCAAGGCGCTGATCTTGTACCCAACACGGTAGTAGTTGCTTCCTGGGACATCGTTTCTAAATGGCGTGAACTGGCTAGCGTACGCCCCTCCTCCAGGAAGCAGGTCCTTGAATTCTGGCGGCGTCACATGTGCTCGGCGGGATTCAACCACTCGAACAACACCTGGAGGGTGTTCACGGTGGCTCATCATTGGTGTTTCTGGTTCTGCTGGGGCTGGTCCAGGGTTGGCTTCAGCAGGAGCGGGTGGAGGCCCATGTTGGGCCTTGCCTTTCCCTTTGCCTTTGGCACGCAACTGCAGGGAAGCAGCAAAGCGCTGTCGGAACTTGTTGGCCTTTTGCTGTTTCTCAAGTATGCTCTGTTGGCCCTCAAGCCGGATTTTCTTTACCAGCTTGTCTGTTGCCCATCGCTTCATCTGATCAAAGCATTGCTGGTTTTCCACATCCAAATGTTCGCACATTTCAAGAATGCTTCGCTCCTTTTCTCGTAATTGCGCTGTTGACATGTTCATGATGCCTGCTATCATTTCTTGCTTGCGTTCGGAAGACTCACTGTCTTTGAACAAGTGTTCCACCAGTTGCCGCGCTTTGTCAATCTTGATTGGGCTGCCATGAGCTCCAGAACCTTTTGCAAGTTCAGGCAAACGAAGCTGTTCAGCAATTTTGTCCAGTTGAGGAACTGTGAAGTAGCTCCCAATTCTCACAGCAGCCTTGAGCAACCATTCACCTTCCAAGTTGGTCACCCGCAAAAAGATGCCCCGTGGCAATTCTGGAGGTAGGCAGGCTGGGTGAACCACATCGGTTGGCATGTGGCGAAAGCAGCATTTGCTTTCCTCCACCGTGTAGTTGAACATGAAGTCAGGCCGCACGTCGTTCGCGAAGTCGACTCTCAAAAACACCTCAAACGAATCATTGCGATTGATTGGTGTTGCGAATGAATGGGTGAGGTGTTTATTTCAAGCGAAACGGTCAGCTGACCCTGCAGAACACATCGAGCAGGAGTGGTGTTGGTTTGTTTAGAGTAGATCAAACGCAAAGATGTTTGGTCATGTTTGTCAAGGGTCTTGTCCCTGCGCAGAGACTGCCTTGCACTTCACAGCTGCTGACGCGTAGGCTCTGAATCCCAAACACATGAAGTAGTCCCCAGTCTCCGTGTGCAAATAAATTTCTCTTTTCTGGAGAAGGCAGCCTGGGTCAAGAGCAAGACAGCACCAGCACTGTAAAGTCAGGAACAATTTGACAGGGGACCCAAAGATTGGAAAGCATTGAACTGAGTGTGGGCGGGTCAGCCAAGGGACTTGCCCACACGTTGCCCAAGTTGGCCCAGCGTGTATGGGCATCGTTGTGCAAGTAGATCATGGCGGCAGCTCCTTTTTGGTTTGACTCTGGTCCTGCTGCTTTCCATTTCTTCTTTTTCTGCAGCGCACTTGGCTTCGGCCAAAGAATGCTGTCTTCCGTTGCTGGCTCTGGCATAGCTGTGCTGTTGGTGTCGAACATTGGGGCGAAGTTTTGCAGCATTGCGAAAGCGGTGTGGGAACCTGCGTCCCAGTCTTGCGCATCAGGGAGCACCGTCTGCATGCCACCAGAACGCGGGCTTCTGGCAGTCGTTGCGTAGAAGTAGCGGCTCCAGTCGCTCATGCGCTTGTTGGAAGTGCCCTTTCCAACCATGCTTTGGAGATGCGAGAACACATCTTCCAAGCAATTTTTGGTCGTAGACGAAGACCGGAAGAGTTTAGCAGCAAGACGCCGGCAGCGAAGATTGTCCGGAGCGAACCCGCACTGTAGCATGCACGCCAGCACTTCTCGAGCAAGTTGATGGTGGCACCAGCCAATCTGGTTGAACACAGCTTCCATGGAGCTTGCTTTGTCCACGTCAGTAGATTGACACTCGAGCCAATGTTTCTCCGCCGCCCAAACTGCATCCAGCACAGGCTGCAAGAAACCCAGCGCTTGTTGTCGACCGGCAGGCTCGGGCAAGAGGTAGACAGCAAAGGCCTGCGGCAAGTTGAGCATGAAGGGAATGTGAGCCCACACGAACCGGCACAGCAACTCGTGGCCGAAGTCAACAGCAACCTTTGCGGTTTCCTTCTCCAACTTAAGCCAAGCCAGATCGGAGTCAAGAGGCACTTGCTCCTGGGTACGCCGAAACCGCAGTTGCTGTAACAGATCACTTCCGTAGGTAGCATCGCAAATGCATTTGGCTGTGTGCCACCAGCGTGTTCCAGCCGCCCGCTCAGCAGCCCACACACCTTGCCCAATTGGGCCTTGCTGCATTGCTTCCAAGTCCTGGGCTGTGTGCCACCAGCGTGTTCCAGCCGCCCGCTCAGCAGCCCACACACCTTGCCCAATTGGGCCTTGCTGCATTGCTTCCAAGTCCTGGCAGTACTCATTCTCCAGTGACCCGCTGATGTGAGTAATGATGAGAGCGCACAGTTGCAGGGATCGGTCGTTGAGGAAGCTGAAAACCATGCGATTCGGGCCTTTTCCTGAAAAGAACTTGTACAAGTCAGCCTTTGTTTGCCGCTTTTTCCCGGCAGCGCCGCCACCACTTGGCCCAGGCCCAGACATGTGGACGTCTCCGTCAGCATCGCGCTCCGGCTCCGAAGCTTCTTCGTCGTCGTCTACTCCTTCTCCCTCGGAGGCTGGGACGCGCAAAGGGTCGATAGTCATAATGGGGACTACTCAGAAACAGAGAAATGGGTAGGATATACCTGCCACTGCTTCTTGAAACTCTCAAGCGCCAGCTGTTGCTGAACACAACCGTTGTTTCTTGAACGCGCCCATCGGGTTTCGGAATCAACGCCAGCGCGACTAAGAGCCTCACAATGACCAGCATTGATCTCACTGCTTCCCGCTCCAGCGTCCAGTCCCAACACAGCTGACGTAGCCCCCGATGGAGCGAGAACCAGCTTTTGTTTTTCACCTTGGTGCAATAAGTACTGTGTGGTCAGTGCGTGACCATGAGTGTTCGTGGCTTAGTAAATCTGGTTCGTCCCCAAATCAGCATTCAACACTGGTCAAGCTGTCAGCAGAATGCCCTGCGTGCGAAGGAGGGGTACTTGCAGCAGGGACAGAACGCCCTATCAAGCCAAGGCGATTTAATTAGGGTGACATATCAAGTATGCAACACCCCAAACGTTTTGCGAGCAAGCCAAATGACGAACTCCCCTCGTTTGCTGACGCAGCTCTCCGACAAGAACTGCTCGGCGTCCAGCTGCAGATCAGCGATGTCCACGCTGTCGATCTGACGATCGAAGCAAACGCCCTCTGCAAGCGACGCGTAGTACTCCTCGCCCTGATTCCTCAAGAACTTCTCAAGGCACTGCTTCCGGGATTCTAGCCGGTCGCCACTGCAGAACGAGCCATGTCGGTGATTGCCTTAGTTCAGATGTCAAGGAAGGTCTGTGTTGAGACTACTGTAGCCTAGTCTCGGGCCTACAGATCGGTCTTGCTACTTCAGAGAAGATTGTGCTTTTCAGTCTGTGACGAACCATGGTTTTGAGGGCGGCCACCAAGTTTGACTTTTGAACTTGGAGGAAAAACGCGGCGAATGCCAGAATTGGTGACATTCATGTCACGGTTATCTAGTTGCCAGGTTCAGCAAGCTTCAAGCTCAACCATCCGGTAGTCATCACAACTCAAAATGTCAAGAGCCAAGGCGCAAACAATGGTCAGCTTCAAAGCGACCAGATCGAGCTGCACTCCAGCCATTGCATTTTTGACGCAATTCCACTTGATGTGGCAGCAGTCAGCATCTGACATGCCACGCAAGTGCGTCTGTTGCAGCACAATGTTCAGCGCCTTCCCCTGGCACTTCTCCTCGTCGACCACCTCAGATTTCAAAACCAATTGCGTTACGTTTGGTTTGAGTGGCCCGAGGTTGTGTTTGGGGACTGCAGGGTAGTTCAGGGTTCAGGGTTTGATGGGCACCGATTGGCTAATAGGGGGCCGTTGTGGAAGAGTGGCCAAACCATCCACATGCTCCAGTGCAACTTGGCAGTTGTTCGCTTTTACGAATCTTGGCACCCTCGCCCAATTGTTTCCAGGCAAAAAGGGAAAGAGTATAATTTAATAATCAGACAAGAACTGACAGGCTCAAGGCATTTGTCTGACTGATAACAAGCTGAGTTTGAGACACCTTGTATTCAACCAGAAATTCAAAGGCGGTTTTCTGAACAAAACGGATGATTGCTTCGGAGCGCAATTGGACCTTCGAAGCTGGCTGGTATGTTCACAGGGCTGACCTTTTTTGTTCTTAGTAGCACCATCCCGCTTTCCCGTCAATTTCTAAGGAAAGGCTCGAACCGGATGGTCTTCATGGACTCTAGGGGAGGGACATTGTACGCAATCAAGTCGGAGCCCAGTGCAAGACATTCTTGCTTTTCCGGCATGAAGTCAAGGTAGGTCTGGTCTGTCGCCCACAGCAGAGCATGGTTGATCGCTTTCATGTAAACCTGAGCTTGGCCGCAAGCTCAAAAGAAAGAGTGGGTGACTGTTTGCAAACTCATTTCAAACTACTGGGTTTCAACAGCTGACACATCGTAGCGGCTTGTCAGACCAGGATTTACACAGCACAAGCCATGTTTCTTGGCCATATTACCCGTGCGGCTTTACTTGCAACTTGAGGTTCGCGCTGATTGTGTCGCCGGGTGGAAATGCAAAGGGCAAGTAATGCAGTGATTTGATCACTCGTTTCTGACTCTCCCAAGTTTGTTGGGCTCACACTGAGTTATGATTGACACCGAACTAGATCTCAACCCGGGGTTCAGCGATTAAATGCATCCAGTCACCCAAAAGGCGTTGCTCTCCTTTTTCGAGAGCTGCGGCCTAGCGAGAAAGTTTGTTCAGAGTAAAAAACATAATTTGCGTTCCAGGCCTTAGCACCGTGCTCCCGTCCAAGACCTCCCAGAAGTTCTTCTTCATCGCCTTGGACGCGCGAGGCGGTGCGGCCAAGGGCGTGGGGTGAAAGTAAGGCGTGTGTCTGCTGAAATGTGTTGACTCAGTGGCGCAATTGAGTCAGGCATTTTGAACCTTTGCCACAGTTGCAACTGGCAGTGTGAGACAGCGGCCCGTGGTTCTGCCCAAGCAGGGTTCGCGGGAAGGTCCAAGAGACACACAACATTGTGTGGTCAATCACTGTCACGTTGGAACATGAGGGTGGTGGGCGATACAGCAACATATGCGTCGTTGACAAACTGACCACTTTCAAGTGTCTAAACTAGTTCGACCCTCCCCCTGCTGCAGGTCCACAGGAACTACTTCGGGGCTGCTGCACACTTGCAAAAGGCAACTCGGCCAAGCACTGCGGGATTAGCGCCTGTCCGAGATTGTTTCCTAGAGTGTTGGATGAGAGACGGCCCTGAATCAAACCACCCCGTTTGCGCGAAAGTGACGTTGGACAATTCAGAAATTCATTGAAACAAGGAACAAGTTGCTGCGCCCTTACGCTTGCATCCCTTGCCTATTCAAGCGCAAGGCTGTTCTACTTACTGCTAGCTCCTGCGCTACTTGGCATCCCTTGGGACTTTGCGGGGGGCCACTCTTGCAGCACCACCTAGCAATGTGTTGTATTTCTTCTGGGGGGGGGTCCGTTTTGGGAACAACTACCTGGCATCCATTTGGGGGACGATGTGGGGTCCGCTTTGGGAGCACACTACCTGACCTGCCATAGAATCCGCAACTGGCCGACTCTTCAAACCTGAAACAAATTGTGACACGCACACACACACGCACGCAGACACACACGCATGATGTGCTACATTGTCTGCTTGAAGGGCGCTTGAAGTGGTGAGTGTCTCAAACCGTTCGAACCAAACAATTGTTGTGTCGTAATCAGTCCAACAATGCGGTGCCAAACCCAAACGGTTTGCTTTTGGAATCCCTGGCAAATCATGAAGCGCATTCTGACCCTCCAATGATTGTTTCACGGTTGGTGTAAGACGCAAAGTCTGACCTCAAAAGTAAACAATGATCTGATTCCCATTGTCGGTTTTCCTTCTGCTTCCTTTTAAAACAAACATCAACCCACAAGTAAAAGTTGGCATCCTGATGAAAAAATGCCACCCCTTCTGTCAAATAGCAGGGACACCCCTCAAGTCTCTTTTTTTGGGGCAACACGTGAGCTTCTGAAGCATCGAACCAACCGAAGCTCCAAACAACAAGCACACTGAGTCAGGGCAGCAAAAGTGCCTTTCTAGAATAACTAGCAGACAGCTTCTCGCAGTGATGCTCTTGCCACAGCAACTGAGTTTATGTGGATTGACGCCAGCGGGCAAGAATGCGAGGGGGCCCAATTCGGCATCAATTCGTTCCCTTCCTGACTAAAGTATTAAGCTGACGGGTGTGTGGTAATTGGACCCTAGTAAACAGGCAGGCCCCCTCAACCTATCCAGCTCGCCTCGACAGGCGCAGACTCTGAGACTCTGCGCTGGGCAGATCATGCTGGCCCCTGAGACCTGGCAGCCCCTGGTCAGAATTCATTGTTGAAAGTTGAAATCGCTAGCTACTTGCGCGATCAGGCTTGATTGGACCAACCCTTCCCAGATGAAAAGCCCTGTAAACTTGATTCATTGAATAAGGAGAGCGGTCAGTTGACAACTTACCTCACTTGGTACTATTACTCCCAAAAAAGCCGAACAAAAAACATTGCTACATCATTGTTGGAACTGTTGCTTCTAAAGCATCCCTATTCTATCCAAAAACTGTTTGAGACAGACTTGAAATGTGGCCAAAGCGCACCTTCACTTGTGAAAGGTAAGGTCAGCAAATGAGCCAAAACCGGGAACCCTCACATCTCTTCTAATGACAACAAACTTGTGCTCAAACAAATGTTGCGCAGTCCCATGGATCGAGTTGGGGTCAGGGTGCCATCCGACAAACCTGAAAAAAGGTGGTTTTGACAGGGCAAAGGTGTTGCGGGAAGTCCCTTATACATTTGGGGGGGGGACCCCTAAAAACCTGGTTTTTTTCAGGTTTGAGTGGGGTCCCCCCCCCAAATTCTTTAGCCACTTTTAAGGAAATGTGCCTTGCTGGAAGGGTTTCCTGTTCACACCGGGCCGCCAGATTTCAGCCCAAAATTGGCTGCAGCCGGCTCTCACTTGCCTTCCAAGTCCGAGTCATCTGTTCGGGCAATCTTGGCACGAAGATCTGGGTCAACTTGTTCTGATTCTGGCGCAGGCCGCTTCTCGGATTTACTGGACTCTGCATCCTCAGCGGGAACCACCGTAGTCTCACCAAGATTCTTTTGCTCAGTCCTTCCAGGTTGCCCCTTTGAAATGCCGACTTGCCTCGTCTAGTGCGCTGAAACTCTCAAGAACAAAACGTTACATAGTGTTAAGATGGGCTCCCTTGGACACCGAAGTTGGCTTCGCTACAAAGCTCCTGGATTCAATCTCTTTCAGCACGTCAGGGTCGGTCACCTTCACTGCCTTGGAGCCCAACAGCAAGCGGTGCGCCCACTTCGGCTTGATGTCCGAGGATGGGGGCTCGCTCTGAAGGATGTACTCGTGCTTCATCGTGTTTTCGTTGAGGTGTGGGACAAGGTTCCATTTCACACTTGACTTGATTGTCACTTGCGTTTTGCTTTCAGGGGAAACCAGGAGAGACAAGCTGCCCTTTTGCATCAAGAACGGTCGCTCCCAAATCGGGGGCTCTTCGGGAGGTGGCTCCTCGCTCGACTCTGGATCTGTGTCGTCATCATCCTGAGCCCAGCACAAGCAGCGATTGTTTGCTTGAAACTGGCAGCTTATGGACTGAGTTACTGGCCGGCAAGAGATTCGAAGCTGGACGCGCAGGACCCGCCGGTGGAGCTGCAGGTGAAGCTGCTCCAGGAAGTGTTGGGCCAGGAGCTTCAGGGTTTAGTCGGCAAGGGTAGTGGGGGTGAGAGAGCAGTCAACCTACCTCCCCTCAAGAGCAGTCTTGTCTTTAAACATGAAAGCTCCAACTCGCCTGTCCGTTCCATTCCTCTCATCGGCGCTGCCCCCGCTGTCATAGATCCAGCAACTCGTCGTGACTTCACAGCCTCCTTCTCCGACATGGCCACAGAGATCATCACGTCACAGGCGTACTCTGGAGTTGCCTGCCCACCAGCCCAGAGGCACCAACCTGAGGTCGTGTTGTACAGCTTGTAGCGCACACCTGTGTCCAACATCACCTCGTCGCCGGTGGCCACATGTCGCAGCATCGCCGTGTCAGTGTCAGTGTCCTGGTCAAGCTCGTAGTGCGCGTCCGGCTGGTACTTGCTCTCCAAGTCATCTGCAGAAGTTCCGTCGAGGCCCTCACCCGTCTCGTCAGCCTTTTCCTTCTCCTCCCACTCCAAGACAGCTTTCGGAAGCGGCGCTGGCTCACCATCCTTGCCTGCAGGCAACTGGTGCTTGTAGCCGCCAACCTTCTCCTGCGACCCTGCGTGAGCCAGCCTGTACCTCATGTACCGCTCAACCATCTCCGGATCCCACCGACAATGCCCGACCGGGCAACCACGTCTCTGGTACTCGTTGGTTGCTATCGCAATGAGGTCATCACTGTCTTGCCTTTCTGAATCTTTGTGAGTTTTCTACTTTTCAGTAAAGCTCAACAATCTGGTGTTAAACTTTGCACCCGAAAAAGACTGGGGGGCAGACGAGTGCAACGCAAGGTCAGGTGTCCAGCCCAAGCAAAAAGCCAGCATTGCAAACTTGGTCTGCCGCTCTGTGTCCTTAAGCACACCAACCCCCATGAAGGTAGGGTCAACCTTGTTGAGCAGGTGAACCAAGAAGTGGTCCTGGGCACGCCGGGAATTGTGTGTGTGACTGTTACTATCTAACCTGAACATTCAATGATGTTCAATTGTGTGGTGACTGGGGGTCTGACAGGAGCGGCGTTGTAGTTTTTGTAAGCCAGCTTCGATGACAGTCGCTTTCGGCTTGAGTTTGAAGCTGTCCCTGCCTTTGCCTTGCCCTTGGGACGGTTCTCCGGCCCGAGCCCAATAGTAGCCCCTCCTGGGAACCTGACTGGTCAAATTCAAAGGTCAGTCACAGTATTTATTCAATTTGATGTTAAAAGACTGGCCCACTTTCTGTTTCCATGTTTAGACTCGCATTTAAACCATTGCCAACTTGTAGTTTGCACAAGTGTACTATTATTTGGGCAAGGGACACTAGAGGGTTGCCTCCGCGCAAGCTGGATGTTGGGATGAACTCTGCTGGCGGGGGCCCTGACGATGCTCTAAAAGTCCTACGGGTGGGTGGTGTAGGCTCAGGAGCAGGTAGCGGTGGAGGAGGAAGACCTTCTCGAGGCATATTCCGAAAGGGATCGCCGGGTATCACTTGTCACTCTGACTCAGTCGCTGCGGCTTCAAGCCACGCAGTCAAATCAACCAAGTTGAGTTGTCAGAAGCAAACGTATTCGGCTTAGCGCACTGAGAATAACAGTTTCTGCCACACCAAGGTAAGCTGACGAGAAATGACAACAAGGGTAGACCTGTCAAGAAACCTGCAACAGCAAGTCGGACTATTTTTGGTCGGAACTCATTGTCATTGACAACTGTCTCACGACTCACACTGACTGACTGCCTCAGCTTGCGCAGGCAGTCACAAACGCTCTGATCTGCGCACACGCGTTGGCTGTGCACCCTGACGATTCAGATGGTACTGAACTGAACTAGTTCTGGTTTCAGGAGCGCAGCTCTATGCGTATGCAGGATAAAGCCACAAGCTGCACTACGCCGATTGTAGAGAAGTGCATTGAGTTCCCGCTGACTGCATCAGCCCTCTGCGTATCAGAGACTGATAAAACTGGAACTCCCATTGAATTTGCAATTGCTTGGGAAACTGGAAGCCCCAAGCATGCCATCTTTTCTCGCCCTGTCAAGTACCGGAACTTGCTGACGATCCAGGTTTTGCCCCCTCCAGTTCTGAATGTTGGTACGCGGCCAGAGTTTGCTGACCAACACCGCCGGGACTCCGAATCGCCAAGGTAAATCACCAAATCTTGATCTTGTTCAGCACTCCTCCCAAACATGTTGCGGAATTCAGCACAAAGGCTGGTGAGGCAACGCATCTCCCGTGGCAGGAGCAGCTGACGAAGGTCGACCCTGCTGCTTTCCGGAACCTCGGCGAGCAGGCCAGCAAGTGACTGGTTTCGCATTTCTTGGCTTCATGTCTAAGTTAATACTGGCTGGCTGGTAAACTAACAAAACAAGCAAAAACCGGGTGTTCAAAACATTGCTCTTCATTTGGTTGAAGGGCAAAGGTGAAGGGACGCTTGCGCTTCGTCGCCAGAAGAGATGCGCTTCTCATGATTTCATTGTGTGTAGCCACAAAGTAGTCGGAGGGGCGTGTCCGCACATGTCTTGTGACCAAGCGCGTCACAACGCGGTAAACATCTTCTGGGTCTAGCAAGATCGTTGTGCGAGCTTTGTGGGCGCAAATGCAGTAAACACGGGCTCTAGCCACCCCAAAATGGCCTTGGTCGGCGCAGTCGACGTACAACGGGTAGATCATGTAGTCATCCCCGTACAAGTACTCGATCATCTGCATCCGCAGGTTCTTCCAGGGGAAGCAGAGTGGGCAGGCGGGGTTTGATTGGAAGTGTTCTTGAACAAGGTATGGAAAAAGCCAAACTTTACTTTGCCCTACTGCACACTTGACCGAAAATCCACTCCTGAACGTTTTCGATGATCAGAAGTGGGGTGCGCAACTCCTTGTGCCTCTTTGCGTGGGCCATGAAGACAGTGCATGTGGGTCCATTTTCATAACGTCGGGCCCCAGCTAGGGAAAAGTCCCAACAGGGCAGCCCCGCAGTCTCCAGGTCTGGGGCAAGGCTGGGATTGAAGAGATCGCACATCTTTCCATGCGTGTAGCAGTGCTGAAAACGAACCAACTTGGAGCGGCTGACTGCCTTGAGCTTCCCAACAAAGTCGCTGGTTGGGTCATACGTGTTTGACGGTATGCATCCCTCCACGTTGTCAAAAACGCAGGGAAATGGGAATTTGTCCCCTGTGGCTTCTCGACACCACACATGATGGTCAAAGATAAGTTGGCGGCAATGAGCGTCCCACTCCTTGATCGCAGAAGAAACCAAAAAAAACAAATGTTTCTTGTTAAGACCAAATAAGAGCCAGTAGTCATGTTTCTGATTTCCGTGAAACATGGCCAAGCTTCATGGCAGGAAACTGGCCGGAATGATCGAGGGCTGTCGAAGAAACCGCTTTCTGTGATGGTTTTGCTCACTGCCGCAAGTGACATCTCGGCGGTGTAGGCGCCGCTGCACGAGCTTGACGTGAGCAACGCTGATGCGACCATGGACTCCTGCCGGTTGCTGCGCTTTAAGAAACTGGCTGCCCGTGTGGGTGTGTCTACATTATAGAGCTCAATGCATCTCAATGCATTACACCGTGTCCTACTTTGCTGAGTGGGCCAGCTACAAATAATTTGCAGCGCAGCACCGGTCCTCCAAAATGTCTCGATCGTAGCGGCGTGTGATAGCCAGCCAAGCGAGCTGGAAACACCGGGCTGCCCGAAGAAGATGGCTGCTGTCTGAAGCCAGGTCCTGCCGGTTCGAGTTCAAGACAGCCATGTCAAGAAGTTTAACCAGTTTACTTCCGCTGCAGCGAGGTTGAATAGGCACGCCCGTGATTTCTCTTCCGATGCGATCGCTGCAAGTAACTAACTCCTAGTAAAACGCGACTGCTGCGCTGTGTGCAGATTCAGCTGGGGTTGGAAGTGTGATTTACATGACTGAGTCGAAATCTGCCAGCAGCATTGCAGCAGTTGACCATTGATTGTGGCACGATTCCAAAACTGAAACGGGCAGGGCCAAGCCCTGATACCTAACCACGTCTTCGCGGACAAAGCAAAGACCATTCAATCAATGAATGTGCCTGAGAGCGAGCTCGATTGGCCCACATCTAATCTGCCGGCCTAGCCTTTAGCTAGTGAGGGAGACAGTTTGCTGGAAATCGTCATACATACAGACAGCAATTCGGTAAACATAATGCTCAAACACGTTCAAGCAGTCCAACCCATCATTCTCTTCGCTTTCTAGGACTTGCTCCCAGTAGCAGTCGAAGGCCTTTGAAGTCATTTCCTGAGAACCCAGAATCCAGTTGTAGTGCTTCGCGATGGACATGTTGCGCCTCGCCTTCATGACCAAGCTCCGGGTGAACTTGCGTTTCAGCGTCAGCTTGTTGGTTTTCTTGTACTCCCCAAACTGCTTGATACCCCAGGTCTTCCCAATTGCGTTCTTCGTCTCCCAGGTAAAGGGCAACCGAGATGTTTCCACCCCACAATCCAGGGCATCAGCGTTGCCGCCAGCGTTGTCAGCGGAGCTTGCCATGCTGCAAGTATGATTCGTGGCAGGGATTGAGAAACTTCAAATTGCAACCTACTTGCTAAAGTTTGAGCCGACTCCCCAAACCAGCCACCAGTCCATCAATGCCATGCGTTGCAACAAGTCTGGGTTTTTGCAGCCCCCGCCCCAACCCCAGGTTTGTCCTCTTCTGGGGACGAACTGCACGTGGTTGCTTCAGTTGGAACAGCAGGCTCTGACTCCATGCTGATGTTGTCAGAGAGCTGTTCCATTGCTCGAGCGAACTCTTCAACTATGTGCGCCATGTCTAGGCGCAGGGTAGCACAACTAAAGTTCGTGTGTCAATGTCAAGTGAACCTGGCGTCCATTTGAGTTGCTGCTTCAAGGTTGCCAGGATGGTCAACACGTTGCCTGCTTCTATTGTTCTTGTGTCTCGCGCAGCTTATGCAGACTTACTCGCATTGCTCTGGCCAGCCTTCAAGCCTTCAGAACAGATGTTGAGAAGTTCAATTTGCAAAGCCAACTACAAACTTGCAGCGCTCACTTGTAGCGCAAACCTGTGTTGGGGCCACGGCCACTGGGGGGGCGAAGCCTCCGATCCGCTTGTCGGCGGTGTAGACGAAAAAGAGGGTGCAGGGCTTCTTGGCAACACTGCTGCCATCCAGGTAGATCTCAGCAGTTGTGTTCCCAGCCAGCGCTCAAGCTTTAAAGCTCAACTATTGTCCAAAATTGAAACCGTGAATTGAGGGCCGGGCGGAGTAGTGATGACAATCCCGAAGCTCTGCAAGCAGACGGCGATAGTACACCACCTTTGCAAGGCGGTGACCAAATACGATTTGCAGTTTGTTTGGGCTATCAACCGCTTGATTTGCTGCCCCGGCACCACAGCCAGTTGGGCAAAGTTCGTGACATTGTAGGTGACCCCACGTTTCTGCAAAGCCATGAAGATAGTTGACGCCCGGTCCGGTTCCTTAGAAATTAGATGGGTCGATTGCAATCATGCCTCATTCATTGATATTACACACCCCTTCCTACAGCAGTAAACCACGTTCAAAGACGTTACTGTCAATGCCACAAGTCCATGTTGGACGCCGCTGCCTGTTGCGGGTCTTGACCAAACCAAAGCCACATCGCTGCATCCCTCAATTGCGTTTTCAGGAAAGTGTTGGCTTCCTTGGCTGCCTTGAAGGCGGTGGCTTTTTGCAACGCAGACTCGTTCCCGATGCGGCTCAAGTTCTCATCAACCAGCTTTGATATTTGAGTCATCAAACTCAGGGCAGCCGATTCACAGGTAAACCCCATCGGGTTTTCAGGGTCCAAGGCGAACATGATGTAGTCTATGGCAGACGGGCTGTCAAAACTGGAATCAACAAACCCTTTCCGCTTCGAATTCAACCGCAACCTGTCCCACTGATCACGAAGTCGGTT